CTTCATAGGGGCTATTGTGACAGTCATGGTGTCCGAGTTACTGAGCAAGGAGGTCCGGGTTCAAATCCAGCCTGCTCTAGAGGCGTGTAATAACACCTCTGAACATGTTGATTTAACAGAAAATAATGACTCTCAGGAGCTGTGTAGAAAACACATACTCCCTTCAAGTGTTTGTGCAGACAACTTAACTGCTACAAGTGCAGCAACTTCTGGATCTGGAACTGAATGCCCCAAATATTATGTGCGAAATCTTGAAGCAGCATGCAGCTTAAAAGGAACATTGGTACTAAATTTTGGGGCACTTTCCTGCCTGTTTGTCATCTCTAGTGTTGAGCGGGGACCAAGTGCAAACTCCACTGATGGTCCTCAGTTGCAGTGAGTGAAATGCTGTCCAGGAGCCTTTTAAATAAGGCACCCAGAAGTTGGAGTATGGAAGGTCTTGGCAGGACCCTGATTTACTATCTGCCAATAAAATTTGGAATTTTACCTGTGCATACATATTCAATTAACTTTAAAGAACACAATCGTGCAAGAGAACCCAATCTGTCTGCAAATGATGTCTCTCCCTTTCTTCAGGTCCTGCTATGGAACTTAGTCTGACATTGCACACATAGATCGAGTTCCGTGAACTCCTGCAGCATTTCTAGTTCAATAACAAACACACAACAAAATATGAGGGCATCTGAAGGGCGAAAAAAAATTACCAAAGTCAGCAATTGAGAAAGCAGGAACAGGATACTGAGTTGGATGATCAGCTATGATCACATTGAACAGTAGAGCATGCTCAAAGGGCTGAATGGCCCAGTCCTGCTCTTATTCTATATGTTTCCATGAATATCATGGTCTGGAAGAACGTAGATTTTTTTTAAACTTACACAGGATGTCCCTGGCATTGCAGGAGCAGCAGGAAGTTGGAAAATGAACCCAGAGACTGGACAGCATTGATGCAAGTTCAGAAGCAATCAACAGTGTGACAGACCCTACAGTAAATGCAAGAACAGCTCCTAGTCTCAAGGGAAAAATAGAATCAACCTAGAAGAGCTCCGAGCAATTAAGAAACCATATTAGGTCTAGGGAGAATTGGAGAAAAAGGTACAGAGTTTGTGATTTTCCTTAGGTTAGCCCACATAACACATGTCAAACAGAGTTAGATTCTTCTGACACAAAAACCTGGAAGTTTACCAATTTTATAGAGTCATACAGCACAGAAACAGACCCTTCGGTCCAACCAGTCCATG